ATTCGAAACAAGAAAAAATGCTTCAGGAGTACACAAAATAGGCACTATGGAATATTAGAAATACTTTATCATCGTTATTATTATTGCTACTACTACTACTAATACTACTTTATAAATTAATTGGTAATAACGATCATTTAATGTTACTAGTAGCAGTTAGAATAAAGTTCACAAGCTTCATGAATACTATTCTCAGCACACACACACGCACACACCAAAATGTATTAATGTTTATAAAAATATTTGAGTGAAATAATCTAAAATATTTAGAAAACACATATACACATACACAGCGTTTTGTAGGTCACAAAGGTTTATCCTGATTTCAATCATTAAAAAAAAAGGTAAATCAATAATGAATTTTCGAATAATTTAAATAAAGCAACATTTAGCAGTGATACTTGAGCACTTAATGTGTAAATTACACAATTGAAATTTCATTGCTATCTCATCTTTTTATCATCATAATTGACGGTATTCATGACAGAGCTTTGAGTGAATGAATGAACGTCAATATATTAGAGTTGATTTCAGCCTTTGAAATATTCAGCTCAAACACTATGATGCAGTTAATTCCAATGGAAGCGGAAAGTGTTTTATCTTAACAATATGGTCCTTTTAATGATGGCTTGTAGGGAAATCTGGGGAATGCTTGCATCTAACTAAGTTGTGATGCATCTAACAAGAATTATCAATCACTATTTAAAAAATACGAAGATCATTAAGTTAGATACTATCCCACAAGGATTATTTCTTGTTGTCTGCTAATGCTAAGAAATCCCCATTAACTTCACTGAACCGAACTGAATGATATCGGTGCTTGCAATGACAGACAGGTGGAGAAGTTAAATCTTAGTGGGTGTTGGGCAGGTAGAGTCAATCATCGAGAACAGGTAGCTCGTGCATATATCTGGGATCTTATTGTCAGTCAGTAGCATAACGGTGAAATGCGACGTCTTCTTTCAAGCAGTTCGTATAAAGAAGGCAGACGATTAAATTGGTTCAGTAAATCAAAGGGAATGAACTGCGTATACACACAAGTTAAGAAGAAGTGAAGTGTTGTGAAGCTGTTTCTGTTGAAATGACGATAAACAATTAGTGACCAAAACACTAATCACAAGACAGTATGTCTCTGGGGTTCGAGGAGGGGGGTCATAACATAGAATAACATAGCTGTCAGTTGCTACCCAAACTCCGTCTGTTCAGTGAAAATGAGGATCGCTTGTAGTGGTTAGTTTCTTGGAAAAAAATTAGAAGAAACATTAACTAGCGAAACTTCTGGAATTTCCATTCTCCATAATTTATTTCATCTCGCTCAGTTTCAACAGAGCATAAATTTCACTCATACAAGCCATGAAATGGAACAGGAGAATTCGAAGTGCATTAGACATGATTATATTTTTAGAATGAATCGGTGATTGACTGCATTGAACATTTGCATATACTACAACTCTAAGACACGAAACAGAAAACCCCTGGAAAATAATCAGTACTGCATAGTTTTCAATCGATTTCATTGCCGAAAAAAAGGTGTGTGTGTGGTGATTAAACTTAGTGGTGTGCATATATAAATACACTGGATGACAGATAAACTGACTTGTAAGAACCAAACAGTTCTGCTAACGACTATTATATAAAACAGTTTGCTTAATTATGTGAATGTGTGTAGAAAAACAACCATGTATTATCGATAATTCCTTCTTTCGATTTGCACACGATATTTGAGAGAAAACGTTGTGTAAATACAACTTAGTGACTTGTGCAAGAGAATTCACTTTTCTCTAAAGTTTCCGAGTGACTGATTCTTAACAACAAGGAATACAGAAAATCACTAAGAATATAATGCAGTATAACGATAATAATAAAGCATTACCATGAGTACTAGGGAATAGATATATTCGACATAAACAGTCTGTGCTGGATTATAACCAAGCGTTCATGATGGTCAGCGGATAAGATTTCATCGAAAGTGATCCCTGGACACATATACCGGATCTGTCGGTAGTCGTCACACCAAGGTGTATTTATACGGAATGAAAAAAAAAGCATTTTGACTAGGCCTGATTGCATGCTTCAATACAAAGCATAACGACTGTGTATGGATGCAACGTGTAAGAATTTAGAAAGCACACAAAAATATATACAGAAGAAATACAATGAAGCCACAAGGAACAAAGATGGAGAAGGAGAGAATAACAAATAGGTCAGTGAATATTATTTAGTATTCGTTAGAGGAAAAAAGTGAATAAATTTGCGTCGATGATTTTGATTCTTTTCACAAAGATTTTAACCCCTTATTTTTAGCATTTCCTGAATGGAAGCCGAGTGATCCACATCTTCCTATGGAGACTCCGATGGGTAAGTATCATATTCTGATTTGACCACCACGAAATCTTTTCTACCCGAAAAATTACTTCAGTGGTGTGGATCGGAATGGGTAACACACTTTTCAAACACTTTAATCAATGCAGCTTAACAATCTTGTCGGTAAGCTTTCACTCCAAACCTAACCCACTAAGTCTAGCTCAATGATTACTTATAATGCTGCACCACTTAGCTAGCGTAAGCAAAGAAACAAAGCCACTTATAGTGTGTTTCTGCATTCAACAGCCATGTTTAAACACCGTACAGTAAAACAGATCCAGCGCCCTTTGGTAGAGAGAAGGACAAAGGCATGATCTGTGATAGACTCAAAAGTAAGGTTATTGGCTAGTGAGTTTTGGTTGGCCAGGTAATATCACCAGACCTAACACAACTTGTTTCAGAAAGCATAAAATACTACCTCTAATTGCCAGAAGTGTGGCTGTGGCTTGATGAGAATTAGCTGGAAGACTAACGTATGAGCATATAGGCCGAAATTCCACCTAACATGCCATCCCTATTAATTCAAAGCTTAAGTAATAATTCCTTCAAAACAGCCTGCGAAGTACTTACGGTCGAGTGCAATAAAATAGACAGTACACACTATGCTCTTTATAAGATCGTGGCAAATAATTGTCACTGTTTTATTCACTAAAGGAGAACTAGTTAATTATCATCGTTCTATACTAACTGCTACTTTGGAAATTAGTAGTGCTTTATCAGTGCTCATAAAATACACACACAAACAGTAAGTGCGCTATGCTTGCATAGATTAAATTAGCGATGCTTGGCAATGAGGTATAAGACCAACATAATTTAATAATAAATTTATCGAGCGAAAAACCCCAGGTTTAATATATTAATCACATGGTGATTTCGTTTATTATTTTTTTTATAAATTAACAAATTTCTTTACACGTACCGACAGAGAATCGTCAATTTGTGAAAAAAAACCAGTAATCTACTATTTAACTACCACTTGTTATTTAAAAACTGTAATGTTAGTAAAATACATTAACCACAGTGGTTGAGATATAATATCAAGACATGGTTAGTATGTACGCCTGTGAGCTTAGTCCGCTAAGGTGCTATAATCTGATAGATGTTGTTGTTTAAATCTTTCAATAACTCAAGATCTACATCCCAATTTCGATCGTAACCTACTACATTGAATGATTACTCATTTAAAGCTACCACAGATTGCTAGAAACTTAAAGTTACAACTCGACGAATTTGCTTTTAATTTACACATTATGCAGTATAAAAGTCACACTAGTTAGCTAAGTCTCGTCAGACAACTAATTCGTATGTGCCTTAAATATACACCACACAAAATAGTACGAAAAGTAAACTCATTAGCCAATTATGAAATGGGGTTTTCTATCAGTTCTGAATAAAAAGTAAGTTATGTTAAGGAATTTCGTGTGTCAAGTAACTTCATTACATCACAAAAAGATCAGATGCATACAGTTATTACACTGAAATGAATGAATATGAAACCTTGTGAAAAAAGAAATAGGCTAAATGTTAAAGACAGTCGCAATCATAATAAACTAAAAAATTATTGGGATGCCTTGATGAAAGAAAGAAAATTTTCTTCGCTGCAACTGTCTTTTTATTCCCTATGATCAAATATGTATATTCCGTGATTTCAAGTTTAGTTGGAAAGAATAATAACGTGGGAGAACACTAGGAGATAACGGGTCCAGGAGATTGTAAAGAATGCATCTGTGTCACCAAAAACAATTTTGAGCTGCAGCACTAACAGGGGCAAGCCACTGGGTTCTTAGTACCTCGAGAACCCCAACCAGGCTGTCTACCCCTCTTTATGTGGCTTAAAGCAACTGTTAGAGACTTCATGGATTGATACCAGGTTTAGGTTTGACCACCCCAATTCTTTTCAAACGGAATTCTATGTCAGATAACATTGCTCACTGGTTTCAACGTATAACTTTGCACTGATGTGCAGCAGTTCAAGTTACCACTATCCCTCAATGTATCACACAAAGCAAGAGAACGGAGTAAAGACAGATTCAAAACAGAGATATTAAACAAAATTATGAGGCAAAAAGAATAGTATTATAGAAGAACAATATAATTTTATTGGGTATTATAAATCACAAGGAGTGGATGCATCTGCGCCATTGAGAAAGACTTTGAGCCACTTCTCGTTGAACATTGCTCAACGAGAGAGACAGTGCCTCTACACACATAATACGTGTATTCTGGGCATCTTAATCGATGCAGCTTCAAAAGCTTATCGATTTACTTCACCTCCTTACCTAACACTCTACGCCTAACCTCAATATTACTGATCACCATATTATATCGCAACAGGAGAGATAGAACGTAAACACATCTGTAGTCAAAGACAGCTAGCCCTCCACTTTCAATGGCCATGCCTGACAGCCATAAAGCAGGACAAAGTGAACATGCTGCACATTACACACATCTTTTGATCGATAGTCAGATATTACCCTTCTACACCGGAGATGACACAAATCAACTACCAACGAAAAACAGCAAATAAACAAATTCCAGCATAAGCTGAAACAATGATTTCAAACATTTGGGAACAAAATCATAGTGAGTAAATTTTGATATTTAGTAAATGAAAGAAAGTGCAATGGAATACTTACATCAACAAACTGTGAAGTGAAATGATTGCAGTTGAAATGAAGCAGATGATAGGCATCACCACGGAATTCATCAGCTAAACTTACAAGCAGCCGCTCCACTGCTTTCTTTGATAGATAAGTCCGACCCATGTACAGCCTTTCCCTTAATTGAAAAAGCAATAAGCGTAAAAGGGTAAACAATCTGATGTTGGCTCGTAATGAAATCTACATTGAAATTAGTTAAAATTCCTACAAAAACCCAAACATCTACATATCACTCTGCAGCTTATTAATGCCTATAGGAAAGATGTCAGGATGTTGTAATGAGAAGTTGTGACCAGTTGAAATAAGCGAACGCTAATCAGTGACACTGCTTGGTAGTAGCACTATATTATAAAATGACAGATATATGAATTCACCGGTCACTGGATTCCAACCCAGCGACTGAAGTGTCAAGAGGTTGTCTCCGTAACTTAGAGGTCACGGGCTCAATCCCAGTGGAGTTATGGGTGAGTATTTCTTAAGAATCCCAAAAGAAGGAGGACGAAACACTTGAGCAATACTCCCTGATTTTCGATTCGCTACAAAATCTATAAATCGACAAAACTATCACTTGAGGTCGCACAAAACGGTCGCTACGTCTCTAATAACGATGAAACACAATAGATAAAGAAACAGACAGAAAGTGGATAGAGTACTGGTAGCTGAAAATTATAATGCATATAGAGTATCATCAACTTAATAACTACATATATACGTTTTTGAGACTCATATGAATTTCGACAGGAATTCATACAATTTTCAACGTATCATTTTTATACTTGTAAAAATATATGATTCAGTAAACAGACGGGAGTGTTCTGTGAGCTGAAAATTTTGGTGTAAAAGCTTCCGCATGATGATATTTCGACATAGCCATCTCCATTAGAAATTTAGACACCAGCTGACTTATTCCAGTGAAGAAAATAAAAAGTGTCAGAGAATTATAAAGCAATAACAGTATGCTGAACAAACACCACATATGTGAAATAAAACAGATACAACACTGTTTTCACAGACATATAACGACATAGGTGTGGAAACTATTTTATAATGTGCAGTAAAATTGTATCCCAAACTTCACTTCAATCAGGCAAATAACATACTGTGTATCACCTTGTGGTGTATCAAACTAGCAAGCTAAACCACTGTTATAAATTTCAAACAATAAATGACAAAAGTGTCCAACTTATTTGAATCCAAATTTTCGGATTCTCTTCTTAGTTTAACCCTTTGTGACTTCTACAAGTACTAAGTTGGCGACAATTATCGTTACCAATTAAACTATCATAATAAAAGGTATATCGATAATTCTCATTGATACTTACTTGAAAGAGATTTCCTCACCTAAGTTATCAATATCCATTGGTGTAGTTTGAAAAATACCACTACTGGCGAATGGATGTCCACCAAAACCGAATTCTGGGTGAACGGAAAGGAAAAGAAAATATGAAAATATATGTATCAACTACATACCCCTGTCGTAGACAACAGTACCCGTATGATATGCACCCATTTTTAATCCGTTAGGCCAATGCTAAGCAAAATAAAATTATGACATAATACGAATTACTCACTAAATGATACACATTGACATAAACCGGTTCACCGAGATTCCTGAAACTTCTAGTTACTTCATATCCAGTAGACGAAACAGCTGTTGTCTTAGACACTTCCTGTTTATTGGGAGACATCTAGAATAAAATATTCATATTAGCTATTGCTTTTAGGAAACAATCTTCAACCGTTATACACTGGGCACAATTGGAAAAAAGGCAATACCTTTTGATGCAAACAAGTGGTTGCAAGTGCTCCGTTTAAAGTATAAAGGCAGTAATTGGTACAAGTTAACAAGTAGACAGCATTTTATACATTGGATTAGAACACACACTGCACACAAAATAATGACTATGGAATTTCCTAAAAAATACAAAAACACAAATGACCAGTGAAATAATTAACACACAAAGACTAATAAATTATTGGATGAACAGTGGATAAACACTGACTGTGAATCGATTGCGATACAGCACATACACTCATGACTCACTGACACAATGATTTCCTTCTTTCTTCTTTTGTTTTATGACATTCTATGACTTCGGCTTACATAATCTTTTTTGTCTTTCTTACGACTGCTGCTTAATCTGCACTTATGAACTGGGTCAACTTGAGCAGCTATAGAATAGCGCTAAGCATTATACTGATAATGTATGTGTGTAAATAACACAGATAAACATTTGTGTATTAACTAAACAAATAATAATGACAGCAAAAAAAAATCCATAAATTCAAAAATGGTGAAAAGTTAAAATGAAAAATTCTGTAT